CAATGTACAGTGTCTCTGACACAGAACTCACTAGGCAGGTGCTTGATTCCGGTGCTTGTGGTTTCACAGTTGCCATGGCATTTTGGCTGGAATTAACCTCATGCAAGATATCCAGATGCTTCCTTTTGCACTGTTTACACTTGGCCTTTAGGTTGCACTTTGCTGCCTGATGTTCACGTCCACAGCGCCAGCATCGCTTATTTGCTTTAAACCATGATGTCTTCTGTTCTATTGACAGGAGTTAAAAGTTGCTGCATTGATTCAGATAATCCTGTACAGCGTCACAGAAAGGGCAGTACTTCTTTGGCTTGTCTTGTGCGGGTTCTTTCATCATTACAACTGAAGTTTTCTCTGCTTTGACCTTTGAGTCACTGAAATCACTGCCGTGGAGAATAGTAGTGGATCTTTGTGACTTGTAGTCAGGACGTCAGTTCTTGGGTGGAGCTAATCTCTCTCTGGGGGGTGTACTACTGGGCTGATCACCACTGACTTGAACTCGCATCTCGTACTCAAGCCAATCAGCAAGATGAAGGAGTGTTGGAACCGGAGTGGTGATGGGGTTCACAAATCTGTGAAAGTTTGCCCTTAAGTCATGTGGCAACTTAACTAAAACACGAGAGACATGGGAGCCACACCTCAGTTCGGTCCATCCTTGTCTTCCAAGCTGTTGCAGCATCCCTACTAGTGCTCGAACTTGGAGGGCAAATGACTTAAAAGCTTTGATGTCCCCATTTCTAATATGAGGTCCATCCATCAGGTTGGAGATCCTCTTCAGCGCCAGCTGCTGCGGCTGACCATACATGTCTGTGAGTGCTCTCATAGTGTCTGTATATGGAAATGGACTGCTACTGTAAGAGTCAGCTATGAGTAACGCCTCTTCACACTTGAGATGGTCCATAAGTATCTGAAACTTAATGTGCTCTGAAGCATCATACGGCAGTAAATTGTCCAGGGCTAGTTTTAGTCTGGCGAACTCACGTGGGTCTTCTGACTTGAAGTCAGGGATAGTTGGCTTGGGACCACAGTAGTTATCAAGAGCGGGGGTTCTTCCATAAGGAGAATAATGATGTGGGGGACAGTATGGCTGGTCAGGTGAGTATCTGCTCTCCTTATGGACTGCTCTGTCATGTCCATGAACAGGGGGGTAATAATTATCAGAGTAACCTATGTAATCAGGAGAGTATGCTCTCTCGTGTGTCAAGCAATGACTGTCATGATGAGCTCTTGGATTGATTGATCGATAGGGCGTAGTGGGACCATAATCATCATCATAGTTTCGATGACTATTGTTAGGTGGAGGGAGATCAGAAGAGCGATGATATCTATCATTACGGTGGTAGGGCTCGTCATAGCGTTCGTAATCGTCCTCATATTTGGGGTGATACTTGACATCAGCAAGGCTGGATGCAGCTTTATGACGTGACCATTTGCTATCACTTGACTGATCATGAGCTCTTCCACGTGGCTTACAGTCTTTCTCCACAGTATTGACTTGAGAGCAAGGCGATGAAGCTCTAGATGTGACTGGTGTAGGTGCATCGTTACTGATTAATCCTGCTTCCTGCAAGCTTTGATTAATTTCTTCCGCAGAGATGTGTTGGCCGCCTTGTGGAGATGGAGGAGCATACCAGTGGAGCCCTTATGGTCTCATGTGGGTTTATGTAACTGATCGATGGCGACTGCTTATTAGTTGTTGCTGGTGTAGTGAATATGTCCTCCTCTCGGCTCTTTGTTTGTATCTGAGGCTGAGCATGCTGTACAGGGGGTTGTTGGATCATATCTGTGAGACGCAGGACATCCCTGCGTAACTGATCAGTTTCCTCCCTCATGTTGTGAAGGTATCTGACTACTTCAGCTGAAGTATCCCTGGTCTGTTCATCCTCAGGAACGCGCCCTCTTGGAGTGTAATCAACCTCATACTCCTGCAAATAGGATGGCAGGTGTCTTGATTGTTGTGGCCGATGTACATATATTTCAAGAAGGCGGTTTAACAAACTCAGAGTTCAAACCTGAACTCTGAGTTGACTTACTCAGAGTTGGAAAACTCGGAGTTTTCGGTTACAGAACAGCTGAAAAGAGTTGGTTTAATCAACTCTGAGTTGTCTGACTCAGAGTTAGGCGCGTGCCACGCGACTATAAAAAGCCCTGAACAATGGAGTGAAGAAATTACGAGTCACCATGGCAACAGGACCAAGCCAAAATAGGTCTGCGTTTTTCCCCGACAGAAATGGATGTGCTACTACAAGCATATAGTGACTACGAGCCCATATTTCGTAAAAGAAGCAACACGGCTGCAGCGGTGAAAGAGAGAGAGTTAGCTTGGGGGAAAATAGCTGCCCGAGTCAATGCGTACGTTTACATTTTAATCATACAGTATTCGGTGTAAGTAATTACTAAATAATGTTAGTAATGTGATTATTTGTCACTTGTAAAGTAAGGAATGGTTCTTAATTCTTCAATAATTGAATGAGTAACTTCAGTAATTGCATAAAATACCGATTTTTGTACGAATTAAAAGTGCAGTTTTATGTCTACCCTTTCTTAAAATTCCTATTGTGGTTGATATGGGATTTGTAAAGTAATGATTAATAAATAATCCAGTACGTTTTATGGAGAGTAAGTATTACATTAATCAAAATACTTTTTTAAAAATTGACCCAACACTGATGTAATAATATAAGAATTGAATTTTAATTTTCATGTAGGTGCATTGATGGGAATATGTGTGCCATCAATGCATCCAACCACATT